CATATAACATTGATAATGTATTCTTCAACCCCATTTCGTATTTTTATAAATGTGAGTTGCTCACTTTATGTATGTATGTATGTATGTATATTTATGAATTTCTTATAATGTTGGCTGTCGCATTTCCGTTTGCACATAAAAAAATATATATATATGTATGTATATGCAGCTGTAGAAGACACGTGCTAACCGTCTAACGTTGGCCATTTCCTGTTGGCCGAAGCGCTAGTAACCAAACTGGAAGCCAGTAGCCAAAAGCAGGCAACATGAAGCATTCTAAAATGCATAAGGGTCACTAAATTGTGCGTCACCAACAGGAACAGCTACAGTGGAGTGTGCAGAGCACAGATGGAAAGAGTGGTTGTCGAAATGGGTCTCGGCTGGCGACTATATATATTATACACTGTATATATATATTGTACACTGTGCAGTGCATAACTCTGGCTTATGCCTGTTGGGGGTTTCTTTTGCGAGCGCGTAAAACGTGCAAAGGAAATGGGGACACTGCAACAAAAACATCAACGTCAACAACAGGCTCGCACATGCAAACATATATGCTGCACTAGAGGATACTCCTCAAGGAATTGCTTAACCAAATTCCTTAACAAATTTCATAGATTTTGTTTTTAATGTCGTCGTAGGATAGCTTATCGATATATATATAAATACATATGTATACAAATTGGAGCGAGAATTTATGTTTAATGTATCATCAAAATGCTTACTTCATTTTCACTATCTGTACGAAACCTGTTATAGAAACCACAACAGATCTAGTACACCAATTATAATAATAATAATGAAACCTGTTCATATTTTATATGACATGAAAGGTAATTAAATTATCTTGCCATAAAGTATAAAGTTGTATGTGTTATGTGAGACATAAGTAAAATCATCAGAAAAATGTTCGACGTAATATTGGGTTGGATTGTATCTCTCAGCTGAAACCCTTTTTATTTTGGCTCGTTGTACCATCTTAAATACCAAAAGATTACCTTACCTTACTTACTAAGCGCTTTAAAATAATATATGCTTACATCTTACGGAATTTTAGGTAATCACTGATTTATTTGCTCAACGAAAGAACGTTTTATTTTCTGAAATTCTAATGGGAAAATCGGTAAATTTTTAGATTATATACTATGCTTAAATTAAAGTGAATCAATTTTCAAGTGGGTTGTTTTTTCAATCCATTTAAGTGACTCAGTGACTGAGTAACTGCAAATCAAGTTTTGATAACGGCCTTTCCCATACTCGTTCCGCCCATTATGCACAGCTGAAACTAACATTTTGCTTAGAGGGTATGGAAATATGTTAATCAAGCCGCAGTCTGTTGGGACCGGCATGATAAACGTGATAAACGCTTCGCTGGATGAATGACCTCTACAACTGGCATTCCCTCTCTGTCTCTCTCTATCTATCTATATCTCTATCTCTCTCTCTCTCTCTCTCTCTCTATCTATCTCAATCTATCTCTCTCTCTCTTTCTCTATCTATGCTCCTCTCTCTAGCTTTCTGGCACGGCCTGTTCTTTGGGTCTGTGTGCGTTTTTGTGTTTCTTTTTTTTTGTTGTGATATTTAACCAAAATTGGTTGCAGCTACCGCTTCGAAATGCGTGAGCGAGAGAGGAAGTGTAAATATTCAGAGTGCGTTTATTTTGATGCTCTCCTCTAATTGGCTAAACTCAATTCGAGCTGCGGCTACGGTTAGAATCCAAAGTCTATTTGCCTGTTAATGGTGCATCTTTGGTATTTGTTGACTGCATTTCTCGCCGCTGCTGCTCCTCCTGCTGGTGTTGCTGTTGATGTTCTATCTTCTGCTGCAGCTGCCCTTTTTTTCTTATATTTTTGTTGTTGTTGTTGTTGTTGTTTTGTTTGTCTGGCATTTCTGTGTAGAGTTCATTGCCGCGCTGTTGTAACACAGCAAACAGAGCTCAACTTGGTTTCTGCCTTTGAGTTCGAGTTCGAGTCTGGCACTTGCACTGCTTTTCTGTTTTTTATACATTCATTTCGCTTTGCATCTGCAACTGGCATCATCATCGTCATCATCATCATTGTTATCATCATCATGCGCTTCAGTTGACTACCCTACTCTGGCTTGGCGTGTTCATTAGTTTGTCGGTCTGAGTGAACGCTTGACACAGTCGGTGATCATAATTCAATTATGAGAGCAACCCAATCCCACAGTGGGAACACACATTTCTATTCTCTCGGGCTTTATTATTATTATTTTTTTATTTCTATTTTGGGTTGTTTCTGTTTTTTTTTTTGTCTTTTTTTTGGGCTAGAGGAAGTGGCCAACATTATGAAAATTGTGGCTTTATAACACTTGAAGTTTAGCTGCAAATTAGTTAAGTTAGTGCCTGTGGCAGGAAATACTTATTCAGAGGAGGGGACGGTACTCGCATTTGTTAGAGAGATTGAGTAATTAGAAAATAAATGATAAGTGTGGGAAACTGTATGATTCAGTTAAAGATAATAAATAACCTTCCATACAATGTGACCTTTTACCTTTTTTTTTTAGGACGAAGAGCGTTTTGTTAGTTGGATATTAAGTGGATTTTAAAAACGGTTATTACTATTACAAAGTGTTTATGTATTAAGTAGAAAATTGGTTCTTCAGTTGGTTTTTGATGGTATTTTTAAATAAAAATTTGAGTCAAGTAATGATGCTAAAAATTACCTATTAAAATCAAATATATATATAAGTAGATCCAGTTGAGTTATTGGGTTAAAAGTTTTTTTAATAGGTTGTTCAGTTCGCATTTAGATTATTCTGTTAATTATTCGGTAGTATTTTTTTAATTACAAATATGAATCGACTGATGAGTATATAGTATAGTATAAGTATATAGTATATATCTATAAATACACTCAAACGATGTTCATGGGAGTGTCGTTAATATATTTTCTAGGCCATTTATTTCGATTACTGAAACAAATTCTTATTCTAAATAATTTCAACAGAATGAACCACTGTACTAAGACTGCTGGCTGTTTCTAAGCGGCTCAGACACACACTTATTTACACATTTACACACACATACACACAGAGAGATACACTGAGCAAGACACAGACAAGATTTGCACGCTTTCTTCTCAACCTAGGCCGAAACTTTCGTCTTTCAAAACATATTTCTACAACGGCGGCACCTTAGCACATTTTTCACATATTTTTGAGTTCACGATCAACACGAACCGATAATGAAGTTGTTGATGAAGATCGGAAAGAGAAGCTTAAGACAGAGAGGGAGAGATAGATATATATATATAAAGAGAGAGAGAGAAATAGCGAATAAAAACGGCAGTTAAATTGTGTCGGACAAAACGCTTTAGCCAAAAACTCAATTGCCGCTAATGATGCCAAAAAAAAAAAGAAAAAGATAAAAAGATGCCAAAGATGCTGCCAGTGTAGGGAAGCTGTTGAGGAGTTGTAGAATAGCAACAAAAAGGGGCAGAGTGAGGAAGTGAGTGAGGGGAGGTTGGCGCATTTGTGTCTAAGCACAACACATTTTGACTTTCATTTCTTTATACAGTTAGACACTTTTATTGTGTTTTACATTACTTGTTGTGTGTTTTGTGTGTGTGTTGTTTGTTTTTGTTTGCCCTGCTGCCTTCGTTGCCTTTGACTGTCTGTTTGTCTGTTTGCCTGTTTGCTTGCATATTTCCCTCTGTTGATTTGAACTTTTCTTCAATTTCTATTTGTAGCAACGATAACAACTTCTACTATATATATATATGCAATGTGCGATATTTGGCTACAATTTTAACTCGAACTCATCGCAGACTCGTCTCTGATATCGTCTCTTCTGTCTCGTCGACCCTTTGTCGCTTTTTGTTTTTCTTTGAACGCATTTTTCCACATCTAAGATTCTTATTTTCTTTGGATACTTTTTTCTATCCTCTCCTCTCAAGTTTTTTTTTTTTTTTTGCCACTGCACCCGTCTTGAAAAAGTTCTGCGACAGACTTCGTATTGTAGCAATAGTTTTTTTCTCTATTTTTTTTTCTTCTGTCTCTTCGTCTTCAACGAACAAAGACGCACACAAATTGGCTTGAAGCAGACAAGTCGTGACGGTAAAAATCAAGTTAAACACACTAAAAATAATCACTATCAAACGAATCAGCAAAGCGCCTTAACAATTTTGATTGTTAAAAATTGAAATGCAAAGTTAATTAGAAATTTGAGCAAATCAAAAGAATGTACTGACAAAGCTAATTTCCATTAATTAGAATTTGAGAATTAGTTAGTTAGATTTGTGATATATATTGTTATTATTACTCCTTTACAGTTGAAGTATTTTGCAATAGAATTCACAGAATATGTTTGCTTTGAACTTCAAATGTAAACATTCCCCAAATTTGTCTCGACAAATGTTGAAATTTGCTGAGCAGAAGAGAAAATGTCAAGTTTATTTTTTTTTAAATATATCAAACATTAAAGAAATCTACAATTAGATTAGGCGCCAAAAGGGCAAAAAAAAAAAAACAAATAAAAAAAGAATATGTGCGGCATAATATTCGTTTTGTCGCTTTGTTGTTTGCGTCCAAAAACCAAAACAATGTGCCACACACACAATGGGGCAGAGATTTTTTTTGAATTGTTTTGTTAACGTTTATTGTTCAGGGCCAGCTGCAGGACCCGTTCAACCCCCAGCAACTCTTGCTTGCTTATCGAGACGTACAAAAAAGTTCAGTTGGCAGCCCTCGCAGACACTTGTGCATATTAATTGCTTATTGAGCAGGCCAGGGCTGCCGTGGGGTGAAGTGGGTTGGAGCTAAGGGGTATGTTGGTATGTTGCACAGACTTTTTTGTTCTTTTTTGTATGTGTGTGTGTGTGTTTGGGGATGGGGCAGGCCTTTTTATTATTCTTTTATCAGTTTTCAATCACTCAATCGCGCACTGGCGTATGGCGGCAGCAAGCAACGAGTAGAGCACCAGCCGAGCACCACCATTGATTCATTCATTCATTTATTCACTTCATTCATGCATTGCTTACCTGTGTGTGCTGGTTGTCGTTCTTCTCCTTCTTGTTGTTGTTGTTGTTGTTGTTCGTGTTGCCTTTGTTGTTTTTGTCTTGTCGAAACAAGCGTTTTCCTGCCTTCGGGTTCAAAAGGGTTTTCGTTATGGGCCTCAGTTCGTTGTTGTTGTTGTTGTTGTTGTTGCTGTTCGGTTCACAGGGTTGCTTTTGTAGTTGTGGTTGTTGTTGTTGTTGTTGTTGGTGCAGCCACTTGTGCGCTTTTATGGCCACTTGGCCCTTTTTCGGTTGACAAAAAACGCCAGCGCTTGAAATTCCTTTTTTTTATATTCGTTTTCCCCCTTTTTTTTCTTAATTTTTAACCAGCATTTTTCGTGTTTTGGCTTTTTAATATTTTTTTGTTGTTTTTTTTTTTCTTTTTCGTTTTTTAGCGCGCGCGTTTTTGAAATTGTTGCGTGGTTTGTTATTTGCACATTTGCTGTGGTTGCTATAACTGTTGATTTTTCTTGTTAGCCTTTATTTGAGCCCTGCAGGTGTGCGTTTTTTTGTTTGTCGTTGTTGTTGCTGTAGTTGTTGTTGCACTTGCTGTTGCTTATGGCAACCTGTTTGGCAAAACAATTTAAAATATTTAAGCTGACGGGTAACAATTGTTTGCCAACTTATTGGCATAATATGCAAATCATTGCTTCATAAGATTATTTCTTATTACTAAATTTAATTTATTAGATAATATTAACAACAGAGTTAAGCAGATATATATATTTTTTTTTCCAGTAAAGAACTTAATTTGGCATGGAAATAACTCTTTGAAAAACGTAATAAATTATTTTGTTTATTTTTTCAATAGATTATTTCATATTTTGCTTTATAAATCACATCAATCAATTTAAATTTAAATGAATTAAAATTCTGAAAGCATTTAAAGCAAAAAGCTATTGCAAAATTAAATGACAAAAAAAATTATGTTAAGTGTAAATCAAACATTTAATTTGCAAATCATTTGATTTAAATACAAAAGAATGAACTTTAATCTGTTTAAACGTTTTAAAATAGTATTATTTATGATGCAAGGAAATGATGCATTCAAACACAAAAACACAACTTTTTTGTTCAGAATGATCTCAAAAACATAACTCAAGCATGAACTTCATTAATCAAATGTTTCCAGACATATTTTTATCATTTCACATTTGCTGTATTTTTTGGTATATCGTAAGCAAGATATTTCTTTAAGCTGAAATTGTATGCATCCTTGATTGGGTCTTTAAATTGTTATTTTTAACAAATAAATATCAAGAAGAAGCGTTATACAAAAACAACAATCGAATTAATTAACGGTTTTTCGGTTTCGGTACAAGAAGTCGGTCAATTTTCCAAAGAGCCCAAAAGAAGAAGACAAGTTTTGCTTTAAATTTAATTAAGCATTTGTTGTTGTTTAGCAACCAGACTTTGCAGGCTGAAGAGAACCGCTTTATAATAATAATAATAATAATAATAATGATATTGACGAAGAAGATGAAGAAGACGGAGACGGAGAAGATGATGAAGAAGAAGAATAGTGTCTGGAGTTTGCCGAGTGGCTTTCTAAGCACCCAATGCAAGTAGCAAGAAGAAGAGATAAAGCCACACGCTTCGTTGGCCAAGGGAAAAAGAGGACAGAAGAGCTGGACAGCTCCCAAGAAGAATAACAGCAGCAGCAGCAGCAACAACAACAACAAAACAATTGGCAAGAGAGCGAGAGAGAGCGAAAGACTAGAGACAGCGGTGTAACGGTAAACAAAAATGATAGCTAAACTCTGAAGTCGAAACTGCAGCTGCAGTGTTGAAAAGTGTTTGTAAGAAGTTAGACGAGTTAGTGCCAGGGGTGAAGGAGGGGGATGAGAAAGGGGACGTCACGCGGGGCGCGCGCTTAAAATTCTTGCATGGCAGCCAATTAACAAAAGCCGTTGGCCATCGGCCATCGAGTTCATATTAAATATGTGCTTCAAATAAAAAGGAAAAACGTGTTGTGGGGGGATGGGAGGGCTCACTACTACTAGTGCAATAGATGACCAGAATGTAAATAAAAACAAGGCACACGCATAGGCAGCAGATGACGCGCTTAACACTCACACTCACACATACACACACACACACACATGCACAGCGAAACAAACACAGAACACAAAGAGACGAGACGCGTGGTTAACACACACACACAAACCGTTGGAAGAAACCGTTGCGAAAATCTGCCGCTACGTTGCGACGCGCTCAAACCTTGGCAGGTGACTGAGACAAGCGCCAACAGGCCTCAAGCCAAGAACTGATATAACATAAAACGGAAATACGAACTGCGCTGCTGCAACAACCAACAGCAGCAGCATTTCAGCCTTAACAGTAGCTGCCACAGCCGAAGTTATCCATGTTATTGTCGACACGAAGTGTGCGCTGCGACGCCGACTGCGCAGCAACAGCAACAGCAGCAGCAACGCAACTGAGCGTTCTGTTAATGCCAGCGTCGCTGTTAAGTAACATACACGCCAAATCTTTCAAAATCATGTTTTGAGCATTTATTTTTTGTTTTTGTGTATTTAATCGCATTCACAAAGCGGATTTTGCATGTATGCCCAAAAAACTATAGGCGCCAATTAACATGCAACCACAATTAAGGGTATTTAACGAAGCAGCCGTCTGCAATTAACATGAGGAAAAGCAGATGATTTAAAAAACTCAAAAACGAGTTAATAAACTTTTGAATGTTATGTAAATTATTGCAAATATGCAGTGGGAAATAGTCAATGACTTTATCTAAATTTGGCAAAACTATTGCGAAAAATATTGAAAAGTAGTTTAAAGCATATGTGATTCATAACCACTGCCTAAATTTGATATGTGAACGGCAAAAATGGGTTTAAACATTTTACCAATTTTTACGACTATTTAAAAGAGATGCGTAAATATTTTACTATACAAACAAATCAAAAGGCGAGCGGAGAAATCTTCGTTTGATATATTCTAGAAGCAATTTTTAAATTTTATCAATAAGTCCGAAATTTCTATTCAAAAAGCAAAACTGCAACAAAAGTGTTGCATTAACCAATTTGAATCATACCACAGAAGTGCAACATTTTATCAAGCTGCTAACGGGCTGTTAAGAGCAGACGGTTAAGCTGTTAACATGTGGGCAACATTTAACAGCACTTGGGCAACATTGACTGCAATTGCTTGCAACATAATAAACTGCATAGTTTGCCGTTAACAGTTCCTAAAGCTGCAACGAACGATGCCTGGTTGCAAACCACAACTATGCAAGTGCAAGTGGGGCAGCAATCGCGAGGTGAGGTTTACAAAATTTAACTTGAACTAATTATGGCACTGAAATATGTGGCACAGAGCACCAGTAGCAGCAGCAGCAGCAAATAGTTGGCTCTTTAAAAATTAAGGCTGCCCTAAGAAATAAGTGAAATACTTCAGCTGTCTTGTGAAAATTGTTTGGTTGCCAAAGATTTTCGACTGAAGTTCGAGTTATGCGCACAATTTTTCATATGCCTGCCTGGCTGACTGCTTGCCCCCAAGCTGACTGAAAACTTTTCGAATATGCCACACACACACATATATATACATAAAGATGTATTCATTTTTGAAAGGAGAACACTTAAAAGTGTGTTATGCCGCCGGCTTGCAGTTGCGAATCGGTTAAGGTTCTTAGCATATTAGCATCGATAAAAGTCAAAGACGTTAACAACAAGGGGATATCCTGGCAGCAGCAGCAGCAGCAGCAGCAGCCACGCCAGGAAGTAACGTCGATAAAGACGTAGTTGCAAATGACGTCAACATTTTCATCATCATCATCATCATTTTCCAGCTAAATTCACGCACGTGTCGTCCCTGCCCCTTCCTCATGCCACACCGGAAAGCTTGGCAGTCACGCTTCGCTAGATTACGAAAATGTTGTCGGTGAAAATTAACACATTAAAATTTTGTATATTACACATGTGGAGAATTTATCTCCTTACTCATATCTCAAATGTGGTTTCTTATTTCTTGTATCTAAATATTATTGAGGCATTGATTTTTTTTCCTTTTGGCTTATTAGAGTACAATCGTGAGGGGATTGCTCCAAGTCGAACTTAAATCGTAGAAATTAAGCTAATTTTGAATACAAATTGTTGCATAATAAGCCACTTTGAGGTCTTGTGAATATGTTGGCTAATTGACTCTTAAATTGCCAATGCTTCTCCCTCCTCTTTTCTACTCTTCTCTGCTCTTCTTGCTACTGGGGAGAGTTTTGAACTCTGTGCAAAAGTGTCACTAATTAATTGAAACGATAATTGTGCAATTTTATTGTTTGCCATTCGCCAATTACAGGAAATTATTTATTTATCTAATTATTAAATATAAACAAATAGGCAACACATATTTATAGCCCCAATGTTTGACCAATCATAGCCAAACTAAATAACAAAAATTTATATTTCCAATTACTGAACTAACGTTAATTGCCTAACATTTAGCAGTGCTAACAATTGCCACTCACAATAAACATTGGTTAAGCGTAATATACAAATGTATACATACATAATACATGAGTTTGATAAAATTTCTGCTTTTTATACACTGATTGTGAAGATATAAAAGAATTTATTGTGTTTGGAGACTAGCAACTTGGAATATATATTTGTCTATTTTCGAGTTAGACAAACGGGATAAAAATGTTGGAAGATTGATCGCATTGACAAATACTTATAGATAAAATCAGATATCTCTCGACCTAATCTAAATCTGAATCTGATCTCATTTGAATAGGTTTTTCAACTTAAAAAAAATCACTGGTTTTTCAAACTCGGATCAGTTTTGACCGATTTATAGTTATCGAAAGTCTCGATCCACACACAAAATACCTTTTTAGATTTATAATTTATACATCAAATTCGAGCCAGGATCGTGATTTCAACTTTAAATGTAGTACAAATCTAGAAGTCGAACTATGAAATCGGATAACTTTTGACTCTGAAGAGTTGATTGATTTTCCAATGATATTTGCCACCTGATATCAGCTAGCAGAGTATTTCGCTGTCGACTAAGCAGAATTTGTTAAACAAATTTTGTTTAATATGTGAAAAAAGAGATAAAATCAAAATCAAATATTTTTCAGAAACAACTAATTAGAATTACTTTGCACATTGCAAATTGCAAAAAAAAAAATCAAATGCAAATGCAATAAAAACGTTTTAATTTGCATGCTTTGCGGCAAGCCATTTTCATGGAAAGCCATTTAACAATTTGCATTTAGTTGTACGCATTGCAAAGACCGAAAGGGGTTGAAAAAAGTACAATTGCAAATGAATAA